CAGGCTAGTTTGGCCTACGCCACTGCGTCACTGGAGTTTGGCAAGCAACACATCAGGAAATGGAAATCCACGTACGTCATGCGTCATTTACATTGCATAGACAGCTGTGCAACGTCAGGTCTGTGCAGAAGCTTCGTGTCACATGTCACTTGAGAGCGGCAAGCCACGGGCAGCAAATTCTAGACCCAAACCGGCGGCACTCTGCAACTGCTCGATTGGAAACCGGATTGGAAACATAGATAGCATGGCACGCACTGAAACTGTTGAAAACATGATCGAGAGTGCGATTTAGAGTTTGTGGCTCGTCGTTTGAGGCCTCAGTTTTGTGTTGCAATCAGGTATGCCTCATGCCAGACAACAAGGAAGTTGTTCCAGTGATGAATCCATGACTGCAAATTATGTTCGTTGCGAGATGATTCAGCAGAGCTTCGCCCTGGCGGCCCAGTGCAGCGGAAACATTTTTCTTGCTTTGACAAAGTCCGGCTATCTCACCTAGTCCCTTCACGGAGGGCACATCCACACCTGCACAGAAGCTCGGCATTGCGGCGGCCAATTAGGGCAGCACGTGAATTGAGAAGCGAGCATCAAGGATCTGGCGCAGCAGTCCTCACTCCTGCAGCTGAAGCTAATGAGAACTTTGTTTGTCATAACAGTAATAAAAAATACTAACTGGAATAGTGAAAACATAATAAAATGACAATAATGACAAGATTGATCATAGTAAGCTGCAGCAGAAGTCTCACATTCCGAGAATTTCAATTCCGGCCCGGGCCTCGGGAACCTCTTTGGCAGGCTGCACAACCTCCACCATAACAAGTATTTGCCCAAAACAGGGGCTTTAGCGTTTCCCAAAATAGGGGAACCGCAATATATACCCTAATGAATACATTACAAGCCACGTTATAAGGACCCCAAAAAGGTACCCCACTTTCGGGAAACGCCTAACAGAAGCCAAAGCTCTTTTGAAGCTCATGGCGCCCAGCATCACCGTTCGAGCACTCTGAGTTACAGACGCGTGCAACGCAAGTCCAAAACAAGAAGTCACTCCCCAAATACACAGAAACAGACAGGGATGAACATGTTCGAGCACATCGCTCACACCAACATGTCACTCAGGCTAAGAGTGCTCAATAGTTGCGTTGCCACCGAATGCCTGCAATGCTCAACTATCCGGGAGCAGAAATTGTTTTTTGCAAGAGCTCCCCTGTTCTTTGTGCTGCTTTATGTGCCAGTGGCGGGGTCTGCAAGTTGGGCTCCTAAACAATATTCTCCTGGGTGATGTCACTGCGTGGCTGTTGCAAAGTCGGCTTTGCCAGTTCCGTGCCTCTGCCGGCTTCTTTGTTGTTGCGTGGGACCCTAGATGGAATCCAGATTCTAATGATGCTTGAGTCGTGTCAACGGCCATCTTTGTGATGTGCATGACGACTGATGCTGTCCCTCAGGTAGCACAGCTGTCGGAGCGTCATCCGCCATATGTTTGCACGGAGCTGTGCCAGCACCGCGTCACCCGTCATATCACTTGGCCTCTAGAGCCCATGAAATTGCACCAGTGCCACACAAGCTGCCCCTGTACTTGCTACGTGGCAATGGCCAAGCTCCGTGAAAGCTGGTCTGAGCACTGCGTTTAGAAAAGCTTGTTGAATTTGGGTTTATCTACGCGGAGCTTGCTCAACTTTGGTATCATCATCAACATCATCAACATCATCATAATCATCATCACCAGCATCATCATGATCATGAGCATGACCATCATGATCAATCATGATCATCATATTGTTCCTTTCTGTTTATTGATCTTGTGTGAGGGTCGCGATCTTCGTGACAGTTGGGTCAACTGTCACAGGCACCGGGCTTGTCAGGGATGCGGTCCTGGTCACGGTTGTTTTTTTTTCGGACCCTCATGTAGGAGTCGTGGTTGGAAAGTGTCCAGTGTCACAAAAATCGGGCGCGTTTGGAACGTGATCCTTGTCATAGTTGACTGTTTTGGAGCCTTCATGTGGGAGATGTCCGGTGAGGGGCGTCATCCTCGTGACAGCTGACCGTTTGGAGCCTTCACATGGGAGATGTGCGCGGTGAGGGGCGCCATCCTCGTGACAGTTGACGGTTTTTGAGCCTTCATGTGAGAGTCACATGTCACGAGTGTGGTGGGGGTGGTAGGCCCCTAGGACCCGAGATCATTCATACCGGGTGTGTGGACGGTGATGGACGGTGCGCGGTTGGCCGGCGGTGTGCGGGGGAGGCGTGGACACGGGGCGGAGCATGACACCGGCGGTGAATATGTACACTATATATATAGAGTCTACATGCATGTGGTTGCTAGACGCGACAAGACAAAATCGCGTGAGCTTCCATTGAGCTTCCATTGTTGCGTTACTTTCTTCGGTTGGGTTTTCGGGTTCCCGGCTTGACCTTGTTACATGCATGTATATCACGAGCAGAACAAGAACGTAATGTCAACGCCCCGCCTCAAAGGACCAGGCTTCAGACGCTAGAGCACCACCACCAGCTAGCTCAGCTAGCTCTCCAACCTGCATCTCTTAACGCCGCATTTGAACAGTTAGGGGGGACGCTGGACTTACGCACCATAAGGCTGAGTGAGGTATGTTGTATTATGTTGTGCTGAAACAAACAAATGTTTTGTCTCTTCTGAAGCGATACTGGCAGTATTCTATATCCCATGGGTTATACTGCAGCCCGTGCGGCCGCCCGCCCCGCCCGCCCGCCCGCCGGCCCGCATGCACTCACGCACGCATGCACGCCCGCGCGCACGCACGCGCGCACGCACGCCCGCACGCACCTGCCCGCAGACGCGCGAGGCGATGGTTCCTCATGAGCACCGTTTGGGGATCTACGCTGGCAGAATTGTTGAGTCGATCTCACAGAAAAGAAACACCAGCGCAAGAAGCCTCGTCCGTTTGCAAAGCTCCGTCCGCGGAACTGACCTCCAGTATCTTGAGTGCGGTATTATGTTATTGTGCTGAATCGTGGCAAATCGAACAAACGTATCGTCTCTTCTGAAGCGATACTGGTAGTACCGGGCAGTGCTCCATATCCCTATGATTGATACTGCCCATCTGATAACTGCATCCGAACTGTGATGGGGCTCCGGCTGACGCAGGCTCCTCGGCCTCTGACAGGTGCAGTGCTGTGTGGTGCAACACAAACAAGGACAATCATAACAACAGTAGCAAAATCACAGCAGCAATCCGCACAAAACTAGCGATGGCAACAAATGATAGTGATCAATGGCAATTGCCTTTCCAAAACCTCCCAACAATAAGCCGATCTGTCAGCTAGCACCAATCACACGCAATTTCGCACGTGGCTGGAATCTTTCTGCACTGGCCGAACCAGCTCCTACAGACCAGACCGAAAGAAGGGGTTCAGGGCATCGGTCAGAGTGAGCCTGCCCCTAACCTGAATTTATGTTGTAGACATTCGAAAATCTAGAGCTTCACTTTTCGTGCCCCCAAAAAGGTGATAAAAGGTACCTGAGGTTTCCATGCGTGAGCAAGCTGGAACAACGTGTCTCCAGAAGTGACATGCACTCGTCGTGCAGTAAGAATCCCACCTGGTCAGCCTCTTCAGGGTAAGCCGCATGTTCAGCGGGCGCCGAGCAAGCCGTGATCTGACAAAGCGTGCTACGAGATTCGAAGAAGCCGTTCACAGAACGAGCGGGTCTCAGACAAAGCCGCCCTCCCCCCCCGGCCCAAGTTGCGTAGAGAAAACATTCGCACTCGTGAGTCGTGAGCCACAAAGATGCTAGGAGCTTAGAACGGGCTACTGAAAGCGCAACCACCTGTCTGCTACAGAAAGAGTATGTGCACGAGCAGGCTGCAACAAATCTCACCTGATTGGCAGGTGCTGCCGAGCTCGAAGAAGCCTCTGCAGCCATATGTTTTGGAAATTTTCGCCCGCGTGAGCCTCTGACAAGATACGCTGCGAGTTTAGAAAAGGCTGTTGAACGCGCAACGTGCTTCTGCTAGAAAAAACAGCTTGAGCAAGCTGCAACACCCTGTGATTTACGGACATTTACGGAATATGTTCATGAGCCGCAATCCCACCTGCTCGGCAGGCGTAGCCGAGCTGGATGAAGCCTCTGTAGGCATGTGTTCGGCTGGGGCTCGTAATGCGCATGTGAGTCTCTGACAGCATCATCGTCCACCTGCAGCTGCAACCACACAACCCTGCCGGAATGCGACCCCGCTGAGGGCTTTCTGGACAAGTGGGGCCGCTGCCAAGGCTAACAGGGATGCAGTAGTTGGAGTCAACGGCTCAGTGTTTTCAACCTGCTGAATGCAAGCTGGGCTGCACGGAAAACAATGTAAACAATGCAAGGTGCCAACGAGGCTGCTACCACAACTGCCAGCGTCCCGAAACTCGCCGTGGAGCATTCCTGGCACCCAGAGAGAAAAGAATCAACCAAGAGCTCTCAGGTCTTCATGGCCTGTGGCTCCATGGGCCCAGGTGTTCTCTTGAAGCGCGGCCGCTGCACACGAAAGTTGCGCTCCTCCGGATGCAACAATAAAACTAGCCCTCATGAGCCAAGCCGACAAGAGAATGAATGTGCGATCACACGCCCCTGTAAAAGATTAACTGCCTTTGCTTATGTAGTAGATCTTATCAATAAACGTAGTGAGTGCAAGGCGAATGCGGAGCGGGCCCTCACTCTTTTCTGCAATTCGATCGGTCCCTTTGCTCAGGATTCGGCTACGCAATCAGAAGCAATGGCTCAGTTCTCAGCAATATGAGGGTATTCCCCTATTAGATTCGATGTTTAGCAGCTAAGTTGCTTGGGGAACATGGGACTGTGGGCATTCGCACCGCCGACGCCGAGCTTCTGCGTTGCAGTGTGGGACGACATGCTACAAAGAGCCCTTTACGCCGAAAATTCAACACTAAACAAAGGAGGGACCAACATTTTCAGCGGCAGCAAGATGATCATAGTGACGTGACGCAAACACCAGGGCCGAGCCCTATGGTGTTTTCAGCATGCGAGTTCACTCATTTTTGGAAAGCTGCAAAACATAGATCATTTGGGATACGAAAAGTCGCATCCTACTCATCCACCTGGACTGTCTCATAATCATCATTCTCGACCACTTCATCGGTTGGAGGAGGATTCTCCGCAGGGGACCAATGTGGATCACGAGTGAGAAGGATCGGCTGTTGTTATCAATCCATTTTCTGGTGAGGTCCTCAGCGTTCTCAATGGCACTAGACACGATCTTAGCCACGACGCGACCCATGTTTGTGAGGAACAACACTTCTGGGTCGATGGATTTGGCCCTCTGTTGTGATTCAAGAAGCCCTTCTGGCATTGAACGGTACGGCACATATTGACATATTTGTCCTGGCACGCCCCAGGCGTTTGACAACAATATCCGCAATTTGGATCCCACAAGATGTCTGTGGTCTCTCCGATGGACGTTCGAATAACATTCTTATCATCAACTGGTGGCTGTATCATCGTTGCAGGGAGGTTGGTGGCATTCTGGGTGGAATAGGCCCCAAGGAATATTTTCCACACCACGTCTCTTGCAAGTTTCCATGCACTTGCTGTTCACGTAAAGTAAACAATCCGGGACAGCACTCGTGGCAGTGCAACGTGGCGTTTCAGGTAGTGCGCTGGTGACACGTGGCATCAGTGATGGCAAATGTGTTCTTGGCGATGATGCAGCACGAAGCCAACCAGGAATCCAACAATTCGGAGGCAGACCTCCTACCCCACGTCCTACCATCCTTCAGAAACTCTGCGGGACCAAAGCGGAGGAGGACACCGGCAAACGCAGGTGCGCCGACCAGAAACAGCAACAGCGAGACATAGAGAGAATGGTAACGCCTCCACTCTTCAAAGAGCTGACCATACTCCTCCTCCGCCGCGAGGACCAGCTAAGCACGGTCAACATGGACAGGGGCTACGTCCTGCTCTTACAAAGGACAGCTATAGCATCGTCCCAAGCTTGGTACAGGTTCAAGCAGAAAGGCATCGCCAGCGACAGCAGGGACACTCCACGTTTTTTTCACCACTCAGAGTCGTATTACTAGCGTGCCTATTGAAAGGACTTCGTGCCCCCGATCGACACGCTCCGAGCCGTCCCGAAGCCAAGGCCGAAAAGCTTACAGTAAAAATGGTCATTCGTGCAGTGGAACCTGACCGAGAAGCGCCTCAAGATCCTTGCGACTCTAGACCTGGTGCCCGTGGTCACGGTACAGCAGCAACTGACGCGCATGGAAACGCTTCGCAATGGGGAGGTAATCCAGAAAGTCACGTCGACGAAACCAAACCCAAAGCTGGCTGGCACAGACCAACAGGCCATCTTCTTTCTGGGAAATCCGGCCTGGCAGGTGCTGCTGCAGGGACTGGTCAACAATGCAGTCCTATCGCTGGTGGGCGGGCAGCTCAAACGCGCCACACAACGGCGATCGGATCAGGCGCACAAGCTTCAGAAGATAGTACTCTGAGGCAATTTAACTTGCAGTTCTCTGATCCATCGAATATCTGTTGCGTCAAAAGACGGGCTTTATTATACTGTACTACGATGATCTACGATGTAGGAACAATGCATGCACTACCGCCGCCACTTCAGCAACTGTATCTACAAGCCACTGCCACAATTGCCCAGGTTCGACACCGTGAGGTTCTGCTAGAAAGGCAAACAACGTTTCAGCACTCCAACCCTGCTTGAGATTCCGATTCATCGTTGCGAAGCTCCAGGGGACGTCAGGTGGCTTACGTGTAAAGTTGCAATTTGCGCACGTCGGTGCCACGACTCTCACTGGTCACTATCAAGCGGTGATGCTGGGCCAGGCAGGGATGTGGATCTCAGATGATGCCAACAGCAGTCGACCTCTCACAAACTCGCAGATGCAAGCTTTGTATCGCAATGTTTATGTCGCGGGCTGTGTGCGTCATTGATTCCACTTTTATACGGGTCTCTGAGCTGGATGCAAATCGTTGCATCTGACTGCGGCATTGTTATGGGCTGTCCGCGATTCATTACATTGCTCTGTCCTTTGCAACGCTCTTATACGCTCTTCCTACTTCAGACAGGTCCATTCGGTAGCTTTCGTATCGGCCTCATACCTGTCCAGCTGTGAGAGGGGCGCATAAAGACGTTCCAGTTCGTTTCATGTGTGTTCTACTGCAAGGGATGGTAGATTTTTTCGGGCCTCCTCTACATGTGGGCTACGGCATATGGATACTTTAGCTAAGTCGTGCTTGCATTTCGGCTGCCATCTAGAATGGCCATTGATCTGTGCAGCGTAGCCCATGTCGCTAGTTAGGGGCGCACCCAGACTGCGAGGAAAGAAAGTGCCATCACACGCCCATGCAGAAATGCACAATGCGTGATGCTTCTATACGACTACTAGTACTGCGAACTTCCGGGCTCCTGCCGCGGCATCGGGTCAGTGGAGCTTCTTGAAAAAGAATCCTTGGCAAATGCACCGAGAACATCCATGGCCAGTACAGCCAGCTTCTTCCACATCAAGCCGCACAGCCCAAGTCTAACGTGAAGTTGAAGCCCAGCGCCAACTCGGCAGCCTGCGGCGTCGGGGAGCAGCATGTAGCCCCGGTCGGGGTCTTAGACGGTAGCTACGTGACTGCAGTGCAAACAACTAGCCGGCAAGCCGTAAGGCTTAAGACCAAGGCCTTGAGGCTGAAGCTTTCAGGAAGGCTGCTGATGAATTCCAGGCTTTGGCTTTCATAAGGGAATGCTCAAGGCGGAAACCTCTATTCTTCGCCATTCAGGATTCCTCTATTCGAATCTAATTGAAACCTATTAGAAACGAATTCCAATCCATGTAAACCTTATTGGAAAAATTAGATTCTATTTGAGCCCAATTCAAATCCAATTAAAATCAATTACAATCTGGTTCGAATTCATTTCAATCTAATTCAAATCTAATTAGCATAATTTGAAATCTAATTAAGGTGTAAGTAGGTTTTACTAGAATCTAATTACAATCGTAGTTAAAATCTATCCGATTTCTAATTAAAGCCGACATGAAACCCATGAGAGCGCAGTAATTATAATCGAATTAGAATCTACCAGTTAAGAATCTAATTAACATGTATTAGAATCTATTCAATAGCTCTAAATCCGAACCTTTGAATGACTAGGCTTCTCCCTTTTCTTTTAAAGGCCGGAGACCCCCTTCTATCCAAGGACCGAGGCCGCCAAGAGCCCTTACTACTTGTACTACGAACAAATCTCCAGCCGACCCCCCCCCCGAACACACGGAACCGTCATTATTCAGGGGGAAGAATTAGTTTGGGGAAGGGGGGGGGGCCCTAAGTACACTAATCAGCAGACGACATTAGGAATCAATGGCAAATGCGTTTCCAAATCCTCCCAACAGTAAGCCAACTGTCGGTTAGCACCTATCACACGCAATTTCGCACGTGGCTGGAATCTTTCTACACCGGCCGAACCAGCTCCTACAGACCAGACCGAAAGAAGGGGTTCAGGGCATCGGTCAGAGTGAGCCTGCCCCTAACCTGAACTTATGTTGTAGACATTCGAAAATCTAGAGCTTCATCACTTTTCGTGCCCCCAAAAAGGTGAAAAAGGTGATACAAGGTACCTGAGGTTTCCATGCGTGAGCAAGCTGGAACAACGCGTCTCCAGAAGTGACATGCACTCGTGCAGTAAGAATCCCACCTGGTCAGCCTCTTCAGGGTAAGCCGCATGTTCAGCGGGCACCGAGCAAGCCGTGATCTGACAAAGCGTGCTACGAGATTCGAAGAAGCAGTTCACAGAACGAGCGGGTCTCAGACAAAGCCGCCCTCCCCCCCCGGCCCAAGTTGCGTAGAGAAAACATTCGCACTCGTGAGTCGTGAGCCACAAAGATGCTAGGAGCTTAGAACGGGCTACTGAAAGCGCAACCACCTGTCTGCTACAGAAAGAGTATGTGAACGAGCAAGCTGCAACAAATCTCACCTGATTGGCAGGTGCTGCCGAGCTCGAAGAAGCCTCTGCAGCCATATGTTTTGGAAATTTTCGCGCGCCTGAGCCTCTGACGAGATACGCTGCGAGAACGCGCACCGTGCTTCTGCTAAAAAAATATGCACTTGAGCAAGCTGCAACACGCTGTAATTTACGGATATTTACGGAACATATTCACGCTCGTGAGGCACAATCCCACCTGGCATGCGTAGCCGAGCTGGATGAAGCCTCTGTAGGCATGTGTTCGGCTGGGGCTCGTAATGCGCATGTGAGTCTCTGACAGCATCATCGTCCACCTGCAGCTGCAACCACACAACCCTGCCGGAATGCGACCCCGCTGAGGGCTTTCTGGACAAGTGGGGCCGCTGCCAAGGCTAACAGGGATGCAGTAGTTGGAGTCAACGGCTCAGTGTTTTCAACCTGCTGAATGCAAGCTGGGCTGCGCAGAAAACAATGTAAACAATGCAAGGTGGCAACGAGGCTGCTACCACAACTGCAAGCGTCCCGAAACTCGCCGTGGAGCATTCCTGGCACCCAGAGAGAAAAGAAACGGTCAACCAAGAGCTCTCAGGTCTTCCAGCAACGACAACAAACCATAGCGATCTATGGCAAATGCTTTTCCAAATCCTCCCAACAGTAAGCCGACTGTCAGTTAACACCTCTCACACGCATTTTCGCAAACAAAACCAGTTGACTTTCCGCACCGGCCGAAGCAGCTCCTACGAATCGAACCGAAGAGGGTTCAGCAAGACCACTGGTACCAGACTCGCCGTTTGCAGTATAGCTGAGTCAGTGCGACCTCACGGAACGGAAACACCAGCGCAAGAAGCCTCGTTCGTCGGCAAAGCTTCCTCCGTGGAACTGACCTCCAGTCAGGACTGAGGTACTATGTTGTGCCGAATCATGGTGACTCAAACAAATGTATAGTATAGTCTCTTCTGAAGCGATACTGGTAGCAGCTGGTAGTGCTCCGTATCCTTATGATTGATACTGCCCATCTGAGGACTGGATCCGAACTGTGATGGGACTCCGGCTGACACGGGCTCGTCGGCCTCTGACAGGTGCAGTGCTACGTGGGGCAACACAAACAAGGACATCCGGAACAACAGTAGCAAACACAACAACAATCCGCACAACACCAGCAACGACAACAAACCATAGCGATCAATGGCAAATGCCTTTCCAAATCCTCCCAGCAAAAAGCTATCCGTTTGCATTCCTGCTGAGTCACCAACATAAGCACCAACGCAAGAAGCCAAAGCTCCATCCGTCGCGAGACTGACCTCCAGTGTCAGGGGTGAGGTATTCTGTTGTGGTGAATCATGGTGACCCAAACAAACGTATGGAATCTTCTGAAGCGAATGATAATGGTAGTAACTGGCAGTGCTCCATATCCCTATGATTGATACTGCGCATCTGATAACTGCATCTGAACTGTGATGGGACTCTGGCTGACGCGGGCTCGTCAGCCTCTGACAAGTGCGGTGCTGCCCGGGGCAGCACAAACAAGGACAATCATAACAACAGAAGCAGTCACAGCAACAATCCGCACAAAACTAGCAGTCGAAACAAATGAAAGCGATCATGGTGACTGCACTGTACGAATGATGACAATCGCAATCGCAATACTGACGATTACGACGATGATGTGTATGATTCTGCAGGTGGCTGCAACGCTTGTGACAATAATGTGCGCGGCCTCTGAGAGATGTTGTTCCACCTGCACCGGCCGCTGGACCTGAACAGATGCAAAACAAAGCCCACGTGTGGAAGATTTGCAGACCGCGCTCCTCAACAGGCACCTGGAAGCGTGGATGCAGACAAGGATAACAGAGACATGCACAGAAGCACCGGAGATTTCCAAGTCAAATAGATTCAGACAGCACCCGGGTGACCCCATTTAAGGCATGAATTAGTTTGGGGAAGGGGGGGGGGCCTAAGTACACTAATCAGCAGACGACATTAGGAATCAATGGCAAATGCGTTTCCAAATCCTCCCAACAGTAAGCCGACTGTCGGTTAGCACCTATCACACGCAATTTCGCACGTGGCTGGAATCTTTCTACACCGGCCGAACCAGCTCCTACAGACCAGACCGAAAGAAGGGGTTCAGGGCATCGGTCAGAGTGAGCCTGCCCCTAACCTGAACTTATGTTGTAGATATTCGAAAATCTAGAGCTTCATCACTTTTCGTGCCCCCAAAAAGGTGAAAAAGGTGATACAAGGTACCTGAGGTTTCCATGCGTGAGCAAGCTGGAACAACGTGTTTCCAGAAGTGACATGCACTCGTGCAGTAAGAATCCCACCTGGTCAGCCTCTTCAGGGTAAGCCGCATGTTCAGCGGGCGCCGAGCAAGCCGTGATCTGACAAAGCGTGCTACGAGATTCGAAGAAGCAGTTCACAGAACGAGCGGGTCTCAGACAAAGCCGCCCTCCCCCCCGGCCCAAGTTGCGTAGAGAAAACATTCGCACTCGTGAGTCGTGAGCCACAAAGATGCTAGGAGCTTAGAACGGGCTACTGAAAGCGCAACCACCTGTCTGCTACAGAAAGAGTATGTGCACGAGCAAGCTGCAAAAAATCTCACCTGATTGGCAGGTGCTGCCGAGCTCGAAGAAGCCTCTGCAGCCATATGTTTTGGAAATTTTCGCGCGCCTGAGCCTCTGACAAGATACGCTGCGAGAAGGCGCACCGTGCTTCTGCTAGAAAATATGCGCTTGAGCAAGCTGCAACACCCTGTGATTTACGGACATTTACGGAATATGTTCATGAGCCGCAATCCCACCTGCTCGGCAGGCGTAGCCGAGCTGGATGAAGCCTCTGCAGGCATGTGTTCGGCTGGGGCTCGTAATGCGCATGTGAGTCTCTGACAGCATCATCGTCCACCTGCAGCTGCAACCACACAACCCTGCCGGAATAAGACCCAGCTCAGGGCTTTCTGGACAAGTGGGGCCGCTGCCAAGGCTAACAGGGATGCAGTAGTTGGAGTCAACGGCTCAGTGTTTTCAACCTGCTGAATGCAAGCTGGGCTGCGCGGAAAACAATGTAAACAATGCAAGGTGGCAACGAGGCTGCTACCACAACTGCAAGCGTCCCGAAACTCGCCGTGGAGCATTCCTGGCACCCAGAGAGAAAAGAAACGGTCAACCAAGAGCTCTCAGGTCTTCCAGCAACGACAACAAACCATAGCGATCTATGGCAAATGCTTTTCCAAATCCTCCCAACAGTAAGCCGACTGTCAGTTAACACCTCCCACACGCATTTTCGCAAACAAAACCAGTTGACTTTCCGCACCGGCCGAAGCAGCTCCTACGAATCGAACCGAAGAGGGTTCAGCAAGACCACTGGTACCAGACTCGCCGTTTGCAGTATAGCTGAGTCAGTGCGACCTCACGGAACGGAAACACCAGCGCAAGAAGCCTCGTTCGTAGGCAAAGCTTCCTCCGTGGAACTGACCTCCAGTCAGGACTGAGGTACTATGTTGTGCCGAATCATGGTGACTCAAACAAATGTATAGTATAGTCTCTTCTGAAGCGATACTGGTAGCAGCTGGTAGTGCTCCGTATCCTTATGATTGATACTGCCCATCTGAGGACTGGATCCGAACTGTGATGGGACTCCGGCTGACACGGGCTCGTCGGCCTCTGACAGGTGCAGTGCTACGTGGGGCAACACAAACAAGGACATCCGGAACAACAGTAGCAAACACAACAACAATCCGCACAACACCAGCAACGACAACAAACCATAGCGATCAATGGCAAATGCCTTTCCAAATCCTCCCAGCAAAAAGCTATCCGTTTGCATTCCTGCTGAGTCACCAACATAAGCACCAACGCAAGAAGCCAAAGCTCCATCCGTCGCGAGACTGACCTCCAGTGTCAGGGGTGAGGTATTCTGTTGTGGTGAATCATGGTGACCCAAACAAACGTATGGAATCTTCTGAAGCGAATGATAATGGTAGTAACTGGCAGTGCTCCATATCCCTATGATTGATACTGCGCATCTGATAACTGCATCTGAACTGTGATGGGACTCTGGCTGACGCGGGCTCGTCAGCCTCTGACAAGTGCGGTGCTGCCCGGGGCAGCACAAACAAGGACAATCATAACAACAGAAGCAGTCACAGCAACAATCCGCACAAAACTAGCAGTCGAAACAAATGAAAGCGATCATGGTGACTGCACTGTACGAATGATGACAATCGCAATCGCAATACTGACGATTACGACGATGATGTGTATGATTCTGCAGGTGGCTGCAACGCTTGTGACAATAATGTGCGCGGCCTCTGAGAGATGTTGTTCCACCTGCACCGGCCGCTGGACCTGAACAGATGCAAAACAAAGCCCACGTGTGGAAGATTTGCAGACCGCGCTCCTCAACAGGCACCTGGAAGCATGGATGCAGACAAGGATAACAGAGACATGCACAGAAGCACCGGAGAACTCCAAGTCAAATAGATTCAGACAGCACCCGGGTGACCCCATTTAAGGCATTCAAAGGACATGAATCTCGGCTTCGGACAGGGACAGACGTCTTTGTCGCTGTACCCTGCCGGAGATGGTGAAGTTTCAAGCTTGGCCCTTAGACAGACTGGCCCTGAGCTGCCAGCACCACCCAGGACCAACAACACAACACAAGAACGAAGTCCTGGCGAGCAGGTATGTGGAACATAATTCTACAGCAGAATGGCAAAAGAAATGCATGTCCTTTCAAAAGCATTGGAGAAGTGTGGGGAGTTAGCAAGGCACCTGGAGTTGTTGAGCCAAGTGCGCTGGCGGCACGAGCAGCTTCTTGCTACAGGCTAGTAATTTCGGGCAAGCACCCTTACCCTCTATCCACTTCGTTCAACCCGCGCTGGTCTGAAATCCCTGGGTCCCTCCCTCAGGATCCCGCGGCACGACTTGCCTTGGACAGACATGCCAACATTAAACTCAGCTTTCTTGGCGAGTGGGACACGAATGCCCATCTCCATCCCTCTTCTGGCACCGATTCTGGTGGACGATCCCCCCACCGACCCCCGGGTTCGGTCATTAAACTGGCGCACTTGTCTCTGGGCCTTCAGGTCCAAGACGTTGTTCTGCACTTATGCACGCCCTTCTTTTTCACACAGGTGTAAGGTGGCCTCCGCGTGCCCCCTGGGCCATCAGGAAGGCCCTCATCGGCGGCGGCAGTTCAACGCACCGAAGCAGGTAGCTCCCACCCTGGCAATGACAAACCAGGATGTAGCACATGCAACACCATTGGCACACAAAATAGGGACAGCAACATCTGTCCTCGACTTCGAAGTCGCTCTCTGAGTCTTCGGCGGACGGAAGTGACCTGGGACTTTGCAAAGTGGCACGGTCTCTTCTAGGATAGTTCCCCAAAGAGAGTTGATAGTGGTGGTGCGTGGTAGTGGACATCGTCATGGTCCTCTTGATGGCGTTTCACTGTGCGGGAATCTACCCTGGCATAATTTATCATAATTTTGGATGGGACCGGCAAATGAATTCCAAACTCCGACCTGATGCAACAGGTTCCAAGCTCATCCATTTGTTGCAGACCAAATGCGGGCAGTTTAACAAGCCATCTCAGCCCGAAGCTTGGGGATGTTGAACACAACCTGGCTGTGATATCGCTACGCATGAAGAGAATGAAGGCTTCTCATTCATGGTCTCATGTGCTCAAAAATGGAAATCCCACCTTGCTCCTGGTCGTGAGGAGGCTTTCCTGCCCATCCAAGAAAGGAACTTGGGACGCTTGTTTCAACTGCGTTGCAGAGCCATTTGCAAATTGCAGGAAACCAGATCCAATCTTTTCTCCATTTCAAGGTTCGCTTTCCTTGAGAAAAGGAGGAGGAGAGGAAGAGCAAGAAAGCAGAAGTCGAGCAGCAGAGGGGCAACACGCGCTCCCGCCCGCTTCGTGCTCTGGCAGCATGGCCGCTATGTCTCGGGTCAGCACACATGTTCTCGCAAATATGCTTTTCATGGACATCGTTACTTCGTCCAGCAAGGAGGCTCACTTGGGTCAGCATACCTGCCCTCGCGCGTGGATGCTCCGGTGGAACGGATGCCATTCGTGGGCCATTACGCGGCTGGCATGCATATGCACACATTGACATATGCATCATGCGTCAAAGATCTAATGCTCTGGAAGCATGGACGTGATCACTTGGGCCGGCGTGGGTGCGGTTGCATCGTGGATGCTTCGGCAGCATGGACATTCCTGCTTGGGCCAATCCCTACCGCATCCATTGGCTCGTATAGTGAGTCACACTGTAACAACTGCTGAAACCAGCCTTCAGCAGCTCTTTCTGCGCCTGCACACCGGCCGTGCAGCAGGCTTGCGCAGTGCACCGGACTACCAAAAGTTGCCAAAACCCTTGCATGTCCTTCGAGAGCTTGCGCAACCAACTCTTACGTGTAGCCTGCCGGAGCAGCAACAGAGTAAACCTTGGCTCCATAAACTGTTTATTTTGGTCTTGAGAAATGGCCTCGTCCTTCTGCTCCCGATATTCTTGCACCAGGGCGCTTGCCTGAGTACGCATGCCATTGAGCTCAGTCTAGTGCTAAGCGCCCTACAGCCGCAAGAAGCTTGCATATTCCAGGTATAAGCAAGGTGCGTTTTGCCTGTCGGGCGGGGACGCCTCCTGTGAAAGAGTGTAGCTTTCCGCGGACTGCACGATGGGGGGCACTCCCTCGCAGCTATTGCCTGATCATACAAGAGGATGAAGGGTCAGGGTTCGGGATCGAGGGCTGGGCTAAGAATAGGGTTGCGAACTGTCATTAAATTTCTGGGAAGTTTCGAGTGGGGGTCCGCCATGTTTTACACTGGTTGGTGAAGTGGTGGATTGCCGCTGAAACAACCCAAATCGTGCGCCCTAGACTTACCAACATTGACATGTCCCCCACGCCTACCTAGGAATCAGCAGGCCCAGTGGAGGTTCCAATAGTCAGCAGTTCATTTCACAACCAGTGCCCAAAGTATGACTACCTAAAGGTATTACTACTTTTGTTGCTGGAGGGCTGCCATATAAGTGTGGGATTCGAGAAAGAGTCACTTCTACTAGGGGGTTAGGTGCTGTTCCTGGCAGTGGAGCTACATCATGCGAAGCTCATCAAGCTTCCGAACAGCCTGAAAGCTCAAGCCTTTGAGCTAAATGAGCTAAGACCTCACCAGGCAGATGAAGCCCACCAGGATACCCGGGACTCAATACATGCATGCAGGCTTTATAAGCCTCCGTCACCCCAAAGCTGCCCAGGTGCAACGGTCGTAGTCGCTTGGCCAGTCTGTTTGGCAAACCTCCCAGCAGCTTTCTAGCAGATGGTTCGGTGCTGTTGAAAAGGTGTGGGCCCACCAACCTGATGCATAACCTGAATCCACAGGCCCTTGCAATAACATCCCTATTAAGAACTTGGACCCTCTAAGTAAGATCTTGCCTCCTCCCCAAACCCCCAAGCCCTAAAACCGTAACTTTACTCGCGCAAACTGCAGTGCCTCTTCATCTCGGCGACCGATCTCATCTTTGAGCATCTGCACTATCTGCACCCTCGGGGGCAGGAACAGAACGCAAACAGACGGCACCACTGCTCACTCGGCATCCCTACCGGCCTTGGCGGGCGAAATTCCTGTGCGTCGGCCCAGAGCGCTCCAGGCGAATCCTGCCAAAGAAACCAACCAACATCCCAGCGTTTCTCAGCTAGCACGAACACCTCTAACCTCAGCAACAACGTCAGCACAGACCGGGAGAACTGGCCAGTGAGCCTTGCCATCAGGCGCGTAATCAACACCATCAGCCCGCGCAGCTTGCACCTGCTCCAAGAACATGACGTCACATGTCGGGGAAACGAAAGACATGCAAAGAAGAACAAACCATTGCAATTGCAAGGCCTGCTCAGGACTGGCAACCTCCAGGCGTGACCTGGGCTAGTGGAGCCCTATAAATGCGTGGTTAGAGCCCTCAATGGCCCCTCAGGAGCCTGCGCCAAACACCCGCACGCCTTGGCGAAATTCCCCAAGCAAGCCCGTTCCCACTCACGGCAGCTGGGCGTCGCTCCTGGTCCACATACCAGTCTGCTTCGGCGGCCCTGTTCAGGAACGCCTTTGCAAGCACGCATTCTCGCGACGAATCTCGAGAGCTCGCTTGCTGCTGAGCTTTCCTTGCGGTGACCGTTCTGACACTCCAAGCTGCTATCCTGGAAAAGCGAGATGCATGGACAAGCTTTCAAGAGCTTCATAGACAAAACTGAAGCTGATCGTCCTGCGCGTTCGCAAAGTTGAGCGCAGGGTTGCTTTCGCTTTCGGACTCTAAGTCCGATTCCTGCACGAGCAATGTCTGGGTCGGGCAGGCCGCTCAAAAGAGAAGCTGCAGATTATTCGGGTCCGTGTCCGGTACTCCCGTTGAACCACTCAGCCTGCGATCAGGCCTGGATTAGACAACCAAGCACAGTGCTGATTTCAGGGTGAGTCCCTGGTAGCTGCTGTGTTGGTGAAAGAAGGGATGCGCATGCCTTTCTCTGAGATCGCCGGCTGACTGCAGGAGGTCAAAGTCTTTTCCGGCAGTTTGGGCGTGCCAGATCTCGGGGTGCTCCGATCGCCCAGAAAGCTCTCGAAAAAAGACCTCAAGTCTGGCTCCGCATGGCTTTGTATATGGCCTGCTTAGCCAACACATCTGAGGCTATCTAGCTCTCTGGTTTGTAGTCAAGTCTGGCCACGGCTGAAGCTGCGGCTGCACCGTGCTATCGCCTTCAAATGAATGCCACTGCATAGCAGCAAGCATCAGCCTCAGAGAAGACAGACAAATTTTCGGGAAATTGCCTACAGTAGTCCTGCGCCGCACTCCGCCAATCGCCAACCTCTGGTGCAATCCAGTTGCTCGTTGCCAAGGTCTTGGGCGTGTAGAACTGCGCCCGACAGCTCCCATTCCAGCTCACACAGCCGAAGGAGCTTGGTGTCCAGCTGCGCAAATTGCCTGGGATTCTGGCGTTTGTGCACTGTGCAGTCTAGAACGAACTCATGCAGGTGATCTGTGCAGGCCAGGCTGCACGCATGTTTCCAGGTGCAGGCCAGTCCACGCTGACATGATCGAACTGAACTTCGATGCTTCTTTTGCTGCGCAGCATGTGTCGAGTGCTTCGCCAGAATGACTGCGCGTCAGAGAACCAACATGTCTCAGCTGGCCGGTACACAACATGGCTAAGTATGCTTGGACGCTTGCATGATCCAGTGTTCTGCCAGTAAGAGGCCAAGAACGTTGAAAGTTTCTTCAGGCTAGACAGAGCCGAGATGAAGCTGATTGCAATCTGGCAAGCATTTCGCGACTTGAATTGCCACTGCGAGAGCACAGTTGTGCCTGCTCAGTGCTTAAGGCACGCTTTAGAGTCTACCCTTCCCTCGTCAGAAACCTTAAACTGGACTCAACGCTACATTTTGACAGCTGTTGAAGCGCTTCTCGGGGAAATTCCCGCAGATCGAGAGAAAAGAGTGAGCCCTTCTCGCTCACAGCCTCTTGGCCATCTCGACACCTGGAGAGCGCTGGATCTCTTCTCAAGCGCCGTGTCTCGACTTTCGCAAAGTTCCTCACACGCCTGGCAGACACGTCTTTGATGCACTCTGCCCATAATACAGTAGCCAGGACTTATCACAACCACGCTGCAGGCGACAAATAATTAAACTACACAAACACCCTCAAAACTGCCGGATAACCATCCAATCTCGTGCCGCCATGGGCCGAGATGCCAGGATTCAGCGCAGCCAATGACATGACAAGACCTGAAAACAGACGATATCATTGACAAGCGCCTGCCCAGATGCCCGCAAGCTCCAGGATTCAGCGCAGCCAACGATAGGGACAAAGACACAAAGGACATTGAGGCGTGTCACTAACAGACGCTTGCCCAGATGCCCTCAAGCTCCAGGATTCAGCGCAGCAAATGACATGACAAGACCTGAAAACAGACGATATCATTGACAAACGCCTGCCCAGATGCCCGCAAGCTCCAGGATTCAACGCAGCCAACGATAAGGACAAAGACACAAAGGACATTGAGGCGTGTCACTAACAGACGCTTGCCCAGATGCCCTCAAGCTCCAGGATTCAGCGCAGCCAATGACATGACAAAACCTGAAAACAGACGATATCATTGACAAACGCCTGCCCAGATGCCCGCAAGCTCCAGGATTCAGCGCAGCCAACGATGAGGACAAAGACACAAAGGACATTGAGGCGTGTCACTAATAGACGCTTGCCCAGATGCCCTCAAGCTCCAGGATTCAGCGCAGCAAATGACATGACAAGACCTGAAAACAGACGATATCATTGACAAACGCCTGCCCAGATGCCCGCAAGCTCCAGGATTCAACGCAGCCAACGATAAGGACAAAGACACAAAGGACATTGAGGCGTGTCACTAACAGACGCTTGCCCAGATGCCCTCAAGCTCCAGGATTCAGCGCAGCCAATGACATGACAAAACCTGAAAACAGACGATATCATTGACAAACACCTGCCCAGATGCCCGCAAGCTCCAGGATTCAGCACAGCCAACGATAGGGACAAAGACACAAAGGACATTGAGGCGTGTCATCAACAGGCGCCTGCCCAGGCCTGCTTCTCTGGTAACAAGACTGCACATCATATCAACAAGGCGCCTGATTTCCGTGGATCAGGATGGTAGTGGCCTGAGATCTGTACGTCCAGCGACAGTAAAAGTATGCAGGCCCGCAGATCGACTGGCAAAAAAGCTACACATGTCACAATCAGACAAGCTGTTGCTCCCAGGAGCCACCGATGATGTCTACCGGCTCTTCCTGGCACTTCACCAGGTCCTGAGAAGCGAGAAACTTTGCAGATGTCATGTGTCAACGAGCTAAACGGGCCTCTGCAATTTGAGCTTCGCTGCCTTCAGCTTGGCCAGACCAGCTGTGAACTGAGCCTCGCTCGCAGGGAGTGGGGACACGAAAAGCACATGAGGGTTGGGAGGCAGGCCTTCAGCTGCTCATCTTCATCCTGCATGGCCAAAGCCTCCACCCGGTAGAAACACAAGCAGAAGCGGCCTCGGATTGCCAAGCTAACAACCGGCCAGGAAGAGGAAAATCTACACGGGTCACGGACTGCCACGGTTGGTGAGTTCACTTACTTCTGCAAGATGGTCAACGGAGTCAAGGGCCATGGCTTGCACATACTTCCTTCAACAGCAACTTGAGCTTTCGTTTCGACCCTGGCTTCAGCCTTCCGATCCGGGAACTTGTTCTCCACATCAGATGTCACCAGGCGTTGGACTGCAGCCTTAAAGATGAGACCAAGCAGTCTCAGCAGCAACAGAGTACAAATTTCGAGGGTTCCGGGGTCGAGGTTCTGCTCCCGGGTTACGGCCCCATGGTCTCAGGACATCTGCCTGTCTGTTTGGAGCCCAATACATCCCAAGACCAGGCGGCTGACTCAAACTGCATGATGGCAACAGTCGCAACCACAAGCAAACTGGACTATGAACGATACCGCGGCTTGAACAACCTGCGGTACTGAAGGGATTCTTGCGAGAAAGGCCGTGTGCTGAGGATGTTGATGTGTTCCCAAAACGTTAAATGCAACCTGGGAGCACGACCACGGAAGACGTACTTGCAATAGATGCACATACAGGTCCCTAAGGTTGTCCCGGTAGTCTTCAAAGAGCTCCGAGAGCATGCCCCTCAGCAATAGCCCAACACCTACTGATAGGCACGTTGCAGTCCGAAGCGCTGCCCAAACTCAGACAAGCTGCAGTTTATCCGGGTTGTGAACCCGGTAGATGCGCAGGATGAGCTCGTGCCAGTATTTTGCGGATGCCTGGGTCAGCCCATGTCAGCCTTATCTCGCCCGCGGCAGTCTCTCGCTTCTAGATCGCACCAAACCCCCTTTGTCCAGATAGCTCTTGTTGCTACAGGCCTCTTTGGCCAACACGGCCTTTTGAGCTGCCAGCTCCTCCAGATCTCACACGACTCGCGATTCCAGAAAAAAGGAGTGTCAACACGGGTCTCCAGGAAGGCATGCAGACAGATCGGTATGTGCAGGCCAATGTGTGTTCGAAGGCAGTTTTGCCACTCTTGCCGACCCGCGATGATTCCCCTTGCCTCCTCCAGGAATTGCACCCTCTGTTCCAGATCCGCGCTTGTCTCCTCTGTGGCTGGGGCTGATGCTCCAATGATGCGAGGTAACAAATCAATCTGTTTGGGCATTAAGGTCTACACCTGTGAACAGCACTCAGCATGTATTGTCTGATGCTTGCCGTAGGCAGTAGCTATGCACGCATGACCTGTCATCTGCGACATGCGATTGGAATTAGTAGAGCACCGGTGTAGCATACCACAACCGCCCAGGTTGAAATTCGAAATCTGCACAGACTCGCAGTCCTTCGTCTGGATCTGCATCTGTTTCAGCATCTATGATGCCTCTGCACGCTCGCACTTACAAGCTGTGGGCCGTCAATTTGAGTAATTTCTGGCCCACGGTGTCACCGCATGGCGAGAGACCACCCCTGGTTGCTGTCCGACTAACGCATCTTGCTAAACCCTATCGAAGCTCGACCGGAATGATCCAGCACTCCCTCAAGTCGTTTGGAGATGTTGATTTGTGCAAAGTCCCGCGGCCCAAAACCATGTTGGTGGCGGACTCATGGAATTAGGTTGTTTCCTCGTGCCGGAGCTGTCCAGCCCGGAAAGCCCGGTCCTATAGAACTTGACATGAATACAGGCTCCAAATTTGCTTGGATCGGGTCCCCCAACCCGATCAAAACAGAGATCAATGTTGTTGTTGGGCATTTGGTACGGGCACGAGTCAGGACCACAGAACTCCAGAGATCCACCCACACAGAAAAGGATCTAAATGAAGTCATGATGTACAGCGTCGGATTGGTAACAGCAATCGTAATGAATTAATTGACAACCCTTCTGCTGGCCCACTGCTGCTAGATCGTGATAGACAAAGGCTGCTTCTGAAGAGCACACATCCAGCTCGTGATTTCAACGCTTCTGCACTGGAGCACGCTGCTTGTATGTGCAGCCATCTTGATGTGCACTCCGGAAACAAGATTTACCAGAAGCACCGTACTTGTGTTCCCGGCCACCTTTGCAAGTGTCTGGGCTTTCAAGGAAACCCTCAGCCCGCAAGAAAAGACCTGACACGAACCCTCCCAGAGCACCTCCTCGGCTTCTCGCTCCGCCGCCTTGCACCTCATCCAGACAGCAAGCTTGACGGCTCCAGCATCCACTGAGCCCACTGCTTACGCTTGAAAGCTTTGGCCTCTGCCACGATGTTGTGGCAATCCTGAATGCTTCAAGCAGGCGAGCCCATGCATGCCGTCCACACAGCAGCCGAGCGACTGCTTCAGGTTCTCATGCTTCAGCTCCGTGGATATGTTCCTGGGCTGCGGATGCGTAACCGCACCACTCACAGCCAAGCACTCCCACTCTTGTGCAGATTGGAAGCTCTGCCAGAAGCCGCTGGTTCTCTGTCGCTGCCTTCTCTAGCAAAACCTCCAGCTCATCGCACCTCAGAAAACTTTCTGGGGTGCTTGGCAGAAAGCTCCGCGCACGATTTCGGCTCGGGTGCTTTGCAATGAGCCGTTGGTTCTCCAGGTTGGCAGCTTTCAGATGCTCGCAGTTGTCACGCTGCACCTGATGCTGCGGGAGCTCACTCACCCCGCAGCGGTGACGAAGACGATGGCTTGCCAGGTGCGGCAGCATCTTGCAGGCCCGTAAGGTGGCCCAACGTAACACATACAGCAGAACAGCTTATAACTGCAATGAAGCGGGCAAAAAAAACGCTGCTCATGTCACCTGGTGCCACCGGAATCTGCGTGCACTCAAAAGCCACTTAGTGACGGATTCCCGCAGGCACACGGCAGCTTTTTACGTGGCCAGCGGCGAGCGGCGAGCAGAGAGCCAGACCGTGGCGCGATCATGGCCTGCGAGCTGCTACGGTGACCATAGCGTTCAGTCGAGGCATGGCCGAAGTGGACCTATAGAACGCACTGAATGCACAACTCCACAACGCCTCCAAGCATTCAGGCGCTGGCACACCTGCACAAGCTCCAGCATTTACAAGCTAGACTCTGCCAGTGACTATGCGTACACTACGTGCAAGGCGGGCACCTCTCCGGCACTTAGCGACATATGCGGATTTTTATCCGGATGCCATTGCAGCACGAATGCTTTCCACAACCGGCGTGGATCCTGCGCAGCTGTGCCGTAGAAATAATTAGATGCAATGAGCTGCCCCGTGTACTTGCCCATACCCTGGCAGCCTGGCAGCGACTGATGTCTTGGAAATATCCCACCGAAACTTGCCCATACCTCAGCAACTGCAAGCTGCGCATAGAGGTCCGCAGATACGCGAGCGACCTGCGCGCACGCAAAGGCACGAAGGGATTGCATGCAGCATCGCAAAATGTTATACACGCGATGCGTGCTGGGAGCAGAACAACCCGCGTCCTCATCGCACACATGGCCTTGCAAGAAAGTAAGGACAAACAGTCGGACTGACGCAGTCTGATGCTTGAATCCGCGAATAGCTGACTATTTGTTGGGGGTGTGGCCCAAAGCCCGGCCTCGCTGTCAGGCTTGATGCGCAGCACGCTCTCAGCATCCTCTTGCAGTTTGGAACTGTTCTGCTCAAGAAAAAGAAACAAACAACCATAACATCGATGGATGGATCGATATGGATCGAGATGGTTCCGGCGTGCTCTGGCCTCCAGTGACTGCATCAGATGTCCGAGTTTCTCGGAGGCCACAGCACGGCGGTAGCGCACTTTGGCCACAAAGAGCCCAGCAGCCTGCGACACCAGGCAATGTTCCCAGAAAGCAGAAGGGCTGGGTCGGGTTTTTGAGGCCCTGTGGCATGCCAATCTCGAGAGGAGAAGCCCAAAGATGCCGAAAAAAACAATTCAATAACAGGCTTTGCTAAGGGGCGGCTCCAACCAGGGGAGAACACGGCAAAAGTGTGATCTGCACAGGCGTAGCAGAATGAGCATGGATCATAGTGATGTTCTGTTTTTCTGTTGCTGTCCGAATCCTATGGCTTTGTGTTGTGCATCGTGGAGCAACCCATGCATCAGCAAGGGCTTCCGTGGGATCTCGCGATTTAGCCCTGCCCATCCCTGCCCCATCGCGCAGGCTTCAGATCCATGACTGCTCCCTGCATCTGCTCACGCCTTGTTTTTGGATCAGCCTGGCAGCCCTAAACGCACGACGAATTGCAGTAGACTCAGTAGACTGACAGCTGGCAGCTCCAAACAGCAGTCACGCGCAGTCATAACATCCGCAAAAGTTAGTATGTTGCCCCTTGTTGAAGATGCACGCACCACAAGTAACACAAGTACGGCCACGAAAAATAAACACACGCACTTTGTGTACGCAGCCACTTTGTGTATGCAGCTGCACTACTGAGCAGCGGCACCGGCTGTAGTGGTGGCTCAAGTGTCTACATTCCTCTACCACAGTTTCTTGTTACTTAGATGCGGCCCAAAAGCTCGGCGTCTCAAACTGACCGTGAGTTGCCCAATTACGTTACGCCATTTCGCCTTGCCTATAGCTACGTGCATGGATCTGGGCTCCAAGCCAACTCTAGCATCCACAAAGCTTTCGAAGAAGCCAACGTAGCCGTCATCCAGTCCTTCCGCACCGTGCTGTGCCGGGAGTGATCTGTTTTAGACTACATCTCAGGTCTGGGCCTTGTTGTCAAAAGCTGCCAGGCTCAGCTGCCTGAAAAGAGCGCGCGATCGGAAACTAAGCACTCGTGGCACTTATGTGGAGGCGCCGGCCTTGCTGTCTCGAAGCGGTCTTGGATGTCTCGGAAAAGATCGTCAAACTTTGTATTGGTCCTGAAAGTGGAGGAGTTCAACAGCTCCAAAAGGGATCCAGTCACATATCACTCTCCAATAATCTTAGATGATGTCTCCGTTGTATTTTGTGCTGTCGCAGCGCAATATGCCAAGAGACCAGGCATGAAGCAACCGTGCCGTTTTGTCATCTCCGTCCTGTCGAGTAGAACCCCAGAGCCGCATGTATGGTAGAGGGCATGTGGAACAAAAAACTTCATCAAGTGAGTCTGCCAAATGACTGGATCCGTTCCTCCTCACCCTCGTTGTCCCAATCCTGACGGAAACGTGCTTTGGGAGGCTGGAGTCGCCCAAGCCAAGTAGGTCACAATGCGCAGTCCTCCAAGACATCTTAGGAGATGGCGGGGCAGTGTCCACAGAAGGCTTCGAACGACATGTCCACAATCCACAAATGAAATAGCCGACGGCCCTTCTTTGGTTCCCAGCCTAGACTTTCGTGGGGTTGAAAGTTCACGCTGAACTGTTGCAACTCGCCGTGCCTGAGACAGAGCAAGTCGACTATGCAACTTTGCACCGGCTTTGAAGGTCTTCGCCTTGCCCGTCCGTTGATCCACGTCACGCATGGACAGCCTCAGCAACCCCTCTCCAACACCTGCGACGGGCTCCTAAAGTGCATTTTGGGCGACACCAAACAAAGCTCAAGCACATTCCAAACGAGTTTGGGCATATGGGCCTATGACTCGCACGAAGCAAGACTGCTTCCTGGCATGAATAGCAAAAGATGCAGGCTACGTGACATGCGCAGCAGGAGCGCCAAGTACAATAATGTCAAGTGTGTCCTTTTTAAATGGTCAGCTGCTCGAATCCATTCCCCGCTTTCCTGCAGGCACAGGATACGGGTCCAAGCCAAAAATTTGGGCTTGATGCACTTGGTCACGATATGTCACGATGGTCCACATCGGTCCTGAAGCTCCCGGGGATCAATCCATCCTTCTGCTTTACCTGGAAAGTGATGTTGGCATGCACAGCAAAAGTGCAATACACGTCCTGCAAGCACAAGAAAACTCGAGAAAAGAAGCACCACGGATCAAGCAGTAACACCCTCACAGCACTAGCACTGACATCATGATGTACTGTGCCGGCACACAGCCACTCACAATCACTCACACACCACCACTTCCGAACTCTATCCACAGGTGCCCGAGACAGCTGCAACATCTTCATGCCATGAGTGTCGGAGGCACACAACTCGTCTGAAAAAAAATGTGTCTTGTAGCTCCCGGGCGGGGCCTCCCAAAGAAATGATGGCACCGTACTCGAGGAATCGCCGAACCTGCGAGCAACAACGAAACAGCTTCAAAGCGCACTGAAGCCACATGATGCCGGCCTGCCCCTTGTAAATATTATGAAGTTTGACATCGGGCGGCGCTGCATCCTCATCCTCCTTACAAATTGAGAAACGGAAGATCACAACTCCACCCACATTGTCGCTGAGCCGGAGCCTGGACGATCTTGGCAGGCGCAGGCCTGCAAACCGATATTTCAACATCCAAGCATCACCCCCTGCGACCTCGGGCTCCACTAGAGCCACAGTATGGCCCCAAGAGTAGGGCTCGCACTTGCTCAAGTTGCTCAAGCCTCGCCATGGCCAGAAAAAGCCACAGAAGCAACAGTCTTTGGCCCTGTGCCCTTTCAGATTGCGGGGCACTGGAGTGAAGGACCCCAAAAGTGAAGGTGACATCTGTTGTAGCTCGGGCAGGTGGGTTACCGTGGGTTAGGGTGCATTCTCGGTCCGGTCCCAGAGTTGATGGAAATGCACGCAAGTCTGCAGAGAAGTGTCAAGGTGCCAATAAAATTTGGGCATGTCACTAGGGAGTCGGCTATCCCCAAAACGGTCTTCGTTTGTTCATGTTCCACCAGGCTTACAAGATCAATGTGGGTGCTTGCATCTTGTATGCCATGCTGCACATTGGATGATTGCAGACTTCGAACTGAGAGGATACATGTGCTTGTGGCGCAATGCCGTCTCAGGACTGATTCGATCGCGAGACGGCTGGCGGAATTCCAGGTGGTACATCAAGCCATGTGAAAATTGCGGGTGTGGGGAGGACCACCTGGACCACAAGAGGAAGGCCGCTTCCAGCAACTCATTTCTTGTGGGCTGGGACCACAAAAGGAAGTTTTTTCTCTCCCACCCTCACCTCCGGGATCCTCTGTTTTCAAGAATGAAAAAGCTTCTTACTCGTCCCCAGCGAGGCCCTCCGGACCCCACCCCCTATTCTCGCATCACGCTGCAGGGATTGCTGTAAGCTTTGTTCCACAAAAGCCACCATGGCCCACAGCTGGAGCACAGTGTGGTGCAGTGCAGGCAACAGCGTGGACAGGTCTCACAGCAGCTTAGCAGAACAAGAAGCAGCAGGAGAAGGCACGAAAGTCAAAAACAAAAGCGCAGCCTGATCAGCAAAAGGCCACAAAAGGATGCACGCAAGTGCGATTAACATAGTTCACCAGATCTCTAGCTCATCTGACATCCGAAGAAGCACAAGCCAGGCTGTTTTGGCCCTTGCACCACAACGCAGCATGCAGCTTGAGGAGGTTGCTTAGGAGCAGCTCCAGCTCGGAGAGCAGGACCCCTCCAAGAATCCTCTGGACCTCTCTCGTCCTCTTGGGACCTATCTTAGGACATCTTCTGGCGTCCTAGGGAGCTCCTTGCAAGACTTCCTGTCACAACTTTCTTTCAATACCCCGATAAGGACACTTCTCAAGACCAGTCGAACAACCTCCTCTCAGCAGCTACTCATGACTTCCTCGCTTGACATGACATGCCTGGCCCTGAACCCACCCTCCCCCCCAATGCCCGTAATTCAAAGCACATTTGACACATGACGAGGCTTTGGACTCCAAAAGCATCGACACTTGCCAGCTCTGCATTTCGCAACGCCCTCCCCTGCATGCCATAATACCTGCGACTCTTGATGCTTGGGCGAAGACACTATTCAAAAAGTGCGAAAGTTCTGCATTTCGCGACACCGACCCCCACGATCCCGGTGACTGTTGACACTTTTGTCTCGACCATCATCGCCACGTCCAAAAGCGCTCTCAGTTCTGCATTTTGCGATGTCCGCCCCCACGATCCTTGTGACTGTTGGACTGTTAAGACACGACACAGCTCCTGAAATGCTAAATGGACGTCGCGTGCCCGACAGGCCCAATCCCTGTGACAGCTGGCAATGTTGGCACTTGTCATGTGCGATTGCGAAACGCGCGTCAAAAAGAGCTCACAATTCCGCGCTTCGTGGCTGAGAGAAGTCAGAGTATGATGAGTGTTGAAGAGTGTCGTGACGGACACATGCTCAGCTCTGCATCGAGCGTTTTCACCGCATTTCTTCCGTTACTGCCGCGCCGCAACGGATGGCTTCGTGGCTCTAGATTGGCACCAAGGGCTGTAAACACTGGGATGCGGCCCTTATCCATCTGTCGTCCACATGTTTACACCACCAACTCCATTCTCTTCAGTGTGTCAACCTCTGTGCCCATGCAGCACGGCGCCCAAAGCCAAGAAAAGAAGCTGTATGGATTGTCAACGGTCTCCGCGTGCTCTGCATGCTCGGCGTGCTCCGCTCGCTGCAGTCGCACGGCCAGCTGTCTTTGGTACGAGAAATCGACTTCATCGATGTCTTCGTAATATCGTTGGCGACACCAGTCAAGCTTGCGCATTCGTATCTTGGGGTATTTGCATTTGCGCTCAACACTTTGCATGCCTGCCTGCACAGCTTTTCGAAAGGGATCCGGATAGGGAATCCGCAGAAGCTCCTGGAAGGCCTGACCCAGTAACACCAAGATACACCAAGAGCACAAGAGCACAACAATCCAATCCAAAATGCTCGAGGCTTTCCACAATTCTGCAAGCCCTCCTGCGTTGAGGACGCCATCCCACACGTCGCGAGCAGCTGAAGAAAGTCTTGCACCTTATTGTAAACACGGAAGCAGCGCTGCACGTGAAGCCCAAGCGAATAAAATGCAGGCAAAGTAGCTGCAAGGCAGCGTGACACTTCTGGCAAGAGCCTTGATATTCAAAAAATCACACATCAACTCTGCGAACCTCTGCGCTGCATGCTCCCAAGCGGCTCGATGGGCAGCGAGTCTAAGACCCCATCCATCAATGCAGCCTGCCAGGGCTGCATTTTCATACAACAGAGCGAGGGCAAGTCGCGTGGTTCTATCGCAAACTATGCTCTCACGGCATGGGCTGCACGGGAAGAGACTCGGTGTCAAATCGAACCCAGAAATGCCATACAGAGAGAGAGAGAGACAGACACAGACACCGACACGGACACAGACACAGACACAGACACAGACACAGACACAGACACAGACACACACACACACACACAGACACACACACACACACACCCACCCACACACACACACACACACCCACACACACACCCACACCCACACACACACACGCACACACACACACACACACCCACACACACACACACCTACACCTACACACACAGACACAGACAGACACACACACACATACCCAGTCTGAGCTGGTTGTTTTGCCATCATCTCTCTTCACGCTTCGAATTGTGCTTCGAAGTGTCCGCTCTTCGAGCAGGCATACGAAGCTTGCATGCAGAATCACCACAGAAAGTCTTCAGAAGTCTCCACGCAAAATCTTCAGAAGAGATATGGTTGTTTTCAGCAGGTACGTTTTCACACTTACCATCGGAGGTCTTCGTTGGCCGCAGCTCCGATGGTAAGCCTGCGGCCCCCTGCATCCCCTGCATTCTCGTATATGCTTTACAGAACTGTCGGAAAAGATGTCTTCCTTAGAAACAGGAATTCCACACACACCTACCCGGTCAGAGCCGGTTGGTAATGATTCACTCGCATAGGCTAAGTTCTAGACAAACATGATGGAACATCAACAACACAACAATAACGACGCGGACGACGACGAGAAACAGCAAACAAACGAACAACAACATCGACGACGACGAGGAAACGACGCAACAACCAACACCACAATAACTGTGGCTGCAACATCTACACGAACGACAAGGACGACGGGAACGAATAAAAGCAAGACAGGAAACACGACGACGACACGACTGAACGAAAAAACAATAATAGCAACACAACAGGCCCGCTGCTTTCCGAGGAAAGCTTCGCTACCACAGGGGATGCATCATACTAGCAGCTTGGCGGTCTTCAGTGAAAACATCATCTCAAACACCACCTTCAAGTGCCAAAGGAAGTGGTATTCAGAAGGCACAGTAATGTAGCAGCTTGGAGGTCTGCAGCGAAATCATCATCTCAAAAACCATCTTCAAGTGCCAAAGGAGGCGGTCTTCAGGAGGCACATTAATGGATACATCATCTGGTAAAACACATAAAGATAGTCCTTTCATCATAGCAGCTTGGCGGTCTTCAGCGAATACCAACACCCAGAGCACCATCCTTTGCGTCAACGGAGGAGGTATTCAGAAGACGCATTAGTAATAGACATCACCAACCTAAGCGCTCAAGACTACTATAACATCGGCGGCATCATCCTACATGTGTGTCAGAGCTTTTCGGACGGCCTGATTCCGAATCTTGACACACCGCCTCTGCAATAGTTACATTACCAGGCCGCAAAGGTTCGGGACTGCAGGAATTCTCTAGAGGTGGACTTCAGAATAATCCGTAGAAAGTTAGGAGCGCATTCATTCTCAGGAGGTATTCATCAAACGGAGGTTCTTCATCGTTCGAATGTTTTCATATGTTTTCCGCGTTCGGATACGTTCATCAGCTGGGAGTATTAACATCTCATCGTTCGGATGCCTTCAACGTTAGAAGTAGACTGAAGTCCACTATTCAGAATGCTGACCAGGGACTCAGGGTCTATTCATCATGCCCCCCGCAGACCGAGGGTCCGGCAGCGCTTTGGCAGAATTACTACCGGGAATCACACATACCCAGTCTGAGCTGGTTGTTTTGCCATCATCTCTCTTCACGCTTCGAATTGTGCTTCGAAGTGTGCGCTCTTCGAGCAGGCATACGAAGCTTGCATGCAGAATCACCACAGAAAGTCTTCAGAAGCTTGCATTCAGAATCTCCACAGAAAATCTTCAGAAGCTTGCATTCAAAATCTCCACGGAAAATCTTCAGAAGAGATATGGTTGTTTTCAGCAGGTACGTTTTCACACTTACCATCGGAGGTCTTCGTTGGCCGCAGCTCCGATGGTAAGCCTGCGGCCCCCTGCATCCCCTGCATTCTCGTATATGCATTACAGAACTGTCGGAAAAGATGTCTTCCTTAGAAACAGGAATTCCACACACACACACACACACTGACACAGACACACACACACACACACACACACACACACACACACACACACACACACACACACACACACACACACACACACACACACACACACACACACACACACACACACACACACACACACACACACACACACACACACACCCAAACACACACACACACACACACACACACACACACACACACACACACACACACACACACACACACACACACACACACACACACACACACACACACACACACACACACACACACACACACACACACACACACACACACATACACATATATAGATATATACACATCTATCTATCTACCTACCTATCTATCTATCTGTCTATTTGTATATGTATACATGTATATATGTATCTGTATATATATATATACAAAATGTATATATGTATGTATGTGTGCATATGTTTGTATATTGTGTAATCTAACCCAATCTACAGTAATCTAATCTAATCTAATCTTTGCTAATCTAATCTGACCTTATCCGATTTAACCTAATATCTAATCTACATCATGCTAACCTAGTCTACTCTAATATGGTACATGTAAGTTCACAACTTGAAGTATAGTATAATACCCTACAATATTGCACAACGCAGTCTTACAGAACATGACATAACGCCAGCTCCGGGAACCCACGCTCAGAATCGCTGATGCGGATGCGGGTCAAGTTTCGACCTGCCCGATAGCAGGTCTCATGAACAAGAGGTGGGATGCCACAGCAACATGTTGCTGAAGTACGCAGCAGCTCAAAGGCGCAAAAGCGGGGCGAAGAATCAACCAAGATTGGGCACAACGATGCACTACCTAAAGAATCCTAAGGTTCAGGCATGCATGGTTCACCCAGAAAGGCGATTCAGATGAGGGTTTCGCGGCTCGCTTCGGAAAAGTTTGAAGGTTGGTTATCGGCTCCATCCTACTTGTCACCGTGGGCCCGATAGAGAGTGAACCAAAACTGTGACAGTGCCAGCACCGGTGGCCGTCCTTGTAGGTTCAACTTTTCATGGCATTAGCTGGCGCACGCGCCACTGTGCCATACAAGGGGCTTGGAACGAGGATCAAACGGACACAAAGCCTGCAATTTAGCACGTTACAAAAATGGGATCTTGTAGCAAATGCTCACTAAAGCTTCGGGCAGGTTTGCTTGGCCACGACATGGTGAATGCAACAACGAAATCCGACTTCGGAGATCGCTTTGTCGTGGCACTGCTCAGGATGCTCAGGGCGAGATTCCGCGTGGCCCACTGATTTGCACAGGAAATTCGTAACTCATAACTACATATTCGATAACACATATTGTATAACTGTCCTTTCAACGCTGCCTTGATTTTTTGTGCCTTGGGGCCAAGTTCTGACACACTGGGTCTCTCCACGACTCCGACAAGGAGGACGAAACGTGAAACCAGGCGTGAATGTCTTGCTTCAACCTCGGCGCGAAGGGATTTCCATCAGACAGCCTCATCCAAGGAAGACTTTGCCCTTGCGCTGAAGCTTGAGAACCTGGCAACATCAAGACATAAGCGTGGCTGGGCGTCACAAGTCAGTGCGCAACTGTTGAAACATCCCAGATTATCTATCGTCTTGTTGCATCTGCGCACAAGCTAAACCGCGTGCGAAGGTAGCAGGATCAAGGAATGCTGTTCACTGAACAAACATGGCACGTTGCTTGCTGGAAGCCGGCAGCATGCTGACGGGTTAATTAAGCACACTTGGCCATGCGAAAAGTCGAGTTTATGTGCATGAGCACAAGTGACAGGTAGTCGACGGCACTGACGGCTGGCAAATCACTGGCGACCAGCCGAAGTACACCGAAGCTGCCCATACGCCTCTCTGTCACGCTCGTCGAGTTGCGCTCGCTTGAAAACCTGTGGGCGTGTGCTGACATGATTTCAACTTCACTGCGAGTGAGCCAATCTTCCCTTCACTGCCAAGCCCAGACCAGCCCAGCCTCCTTCTCCAGGAGCTCCGTCAAGTACTCCAGGCGCGCCGCGTTCACTTTGATCTGGGCGAATTGGCAGAAACGAAAATATGAAGCCGTGCACTGGAATCTGCGGGCCTTCTTGGACTTGAAAGGCGTAGCCTCGCGCCAGCTTCATGTGCCAAGATGCCATACACATGATCACGCATGTCTCGCGCCACTCCTGTTTATGCCATCAGTCTGTGCACCTCCAGGCCCAAGAGCATCTCCAGGTGGTTGAAGCGATTTGCGGACACTTTCACCTCGATGAAATCGCGCAGGTGAGCGCAACAGCTCAGTGAACATTGAAACCACAGCCAGGCCTTCGAGGACATGGCTATGCAAGGCTGAGGAAAAGGTGTTGCCGATCGATGAAGCCGGACTTTGAGCAGCACGGCCCGACCTGCGGCACTCACATCTAGCAGTTGGGAGGTTTCTCTGATATCCTGCACTGAACTTATGCTGCAGGCACCAGCTACACAGTCAAGAACAGGGACACGTACCTCAATTGCCGTTGCCGTTGCCAGCCCCGGGGGTCAGAACCTACTATGATATGCCAAAGAACAGCAACACCATCAACAGCAACAGAACAGGAAGACACCAGATCTAGTGATGTTCAACGGCACAACGACAGGAGGAAAGCCTCACCTCGCTCAAGGCAGCACAATATGGGCAGTGGCTGCGTTCGTTGCTTCTCGTTTTGAGCTAGGCAAGCATGCCATCCAAGAGTCCGTAGCCCGTAGCCTTTGTCGACGAATGCAATTGCAAGTGGGCTTACTTAGCCGCACCATTTACCTTGAGCCTTTGGTCAACAGGATCCAAACCCTGAAGCTCAACAATCTTTGAACGTAGCCTACAACGCAAGCCCTCGCCGGAACTTGAACGTCTCAAACCCATATCTCGTTGTCAAGCAGCTTTTTCGTCAGCGTCGCCCCTCTGGTTGAAGTTGCTGCAAGCGCCACATGAGCGAGCTTCTGGTCAATGCGGTTCGAGAACTCACCCGAGGTATGATTGCCAGTGGCAAACAGAATTGGTAAGCAGGAATCCAGCATTGACAAGCTCCCCGGAAACGAGATTGAGACTGCTGTTGCAGCGCTGAAGGAGGCAGGCCATTAACTAAATTGTGGTGGCGGGTTGTCTGTGTCACGAACTCTGTGTGCCTGCTCTGCTTCCTATAGTCCTGGACTATGCCACATTATCGCGTTGAGTAGCTGCGCAGCTACAGCAATCCTCGAATTCGCAGCCTTTCAGCTGCCGCGATGACACGCTCCAAAGCCTGTCGCGAATGCGGCAACAAGAGGCAACACCACAGGCCAAAGCACACCCAGCAGGCTCAAGCACCTCGTCGTCGGACGATGACGAAGCAATCTACAGCACACGACGATCGAAGCTGGAGAGGCAAAGCATCTTTCAACGATGCCACGGCGTCACCTGAGACCTCCTCGGGCGCATCGCTGGCCTAGTACGGTGAAACTCCAAAGCAAGCACTGCAGAGCGATCTTCGCAGTTTCCAGTTGCTGCCGATCGAGAACTCAAAACATTGCTGGTGCAGGCGTTTGTCAAAGTGTCCAGGGACGGCAAAGTGATACTGCCAAGAGAACTGTGTTTCGTTGCAAGCTGCGAGTCTTGGGTAGACAACCTGAAAGAGTAAGTCTTGGTTCCCCGACCACTGTTGTCGTCGCTCCCATCTCTGCGAAACCGACAACCTTGCTCTGGCAGAGCATGGGGCAGCACATGCGCTGTACAATGCTGTGCAACATTGCATGTTCAGCAAGCAGAATTTGTATGTGCTTTAGCAGCTTCAGCAAGGGCAGCGGCCAGCGACGGGAGTGCGGAGGCGTCGTCCTTGCTAGGTTGTAGTTGGGCAGTCCGACATTTGCCAAGTACCATACAGGCCGATTGCAAGTCCTCCGAGACCTCGATTGCAGCCGGAGGTGACAGCGGAGCGGCAACAGCCGCATCAACCGCTGCAACAGCAGCGGCTGCAAGCTGCTCAGGGACCTGGAGCTGACAGCTGCCAGAGAGTCGAAGCACAGCAGACTCAACGCAGCCCTGCTCGTTCCGAGCTCGTGGCTGCGAGGCTTTCATCTGGGCCCTGTTCTGCGCCGCCGCCTCCAATCCCGTCCATGTCAGCAAGGCATGCTGCCACAGAGAGCGTTGGGCGATGCATGAATCCCAAAGGAGAGCAGGTTGGATGCAGCTAGCGCAGCATGTGGTGATGCCAAAGAAGCCCTGAACCTTGCTGGCATGTTCTTCTGGTTACTGCTTTGGGTATGCTGCCGCATCGCTCAAAGCTGCAACAGCGAGTATCTTTCATGTCAGCAATTGCCTCGGCAAAACCCTAACTGCACATTGAACTTTCTCGGAAATGACATGAACCGCAGTCTGAACTTCAATTTGATTTCTTTGAGCGTGCCTTTGCCTGCTAGAGAGCTCGTTGCACGGCTCATGGCTCCTCCGGTCGGTGCCTGCGACAAAGGTGCTGCGGTCTCAAGGTGAAGTGGTCACGGGGTCGCAGAACCATGCATCATCGGTCCCCTCCTCAGCTCTCTGGCCTGAATGACATTGGCCAACCCCACTTGCAATGAGGCCTGGCACACCGGCAACCCACGATCGTCCGAGGCCAGACGAACCGGAACCTAAACCCTAAACCCTAAACGCTGCCTCAGCGCGATGGCCTTTGCAAACGGAGGCTGCCTGCAGCCATTGCGTTAACTGCGCATCACGAACCCATGGCAAAGGCAAAATGCTCCATAGCTTACAACCTCCACCAATGCCTGTATCAAGACAGTGTTTCTGGGGCTCCCAAGGATGCAAAAGATTCGTTTACCTTCTCCGCTGCAGCCTTACAACAGCTGTCGCAAACGTCCGTCCTGGTCATGGTCCATCAATTGTCAGTCGCAACAACTTGTGATGTGTTTGTTTCGTGCCTGTTGCCAAACCTGAATTTCAAAACGACCCCACATGGCTCGACACGAAGGCCTACAATCGACAACGTAGAGCTCCTGAGAGCACCACACCCGTCTTTTCCCACCGTTGGATGTTCGACTAAGAACATCTGGGAACTACTCGGGACACTCTGCGGCAAAAATGTCTATGCATGTTGGCGACGGCAGTCATGATGCAAAGTGAAATCGGGCTCACAACGACGTGAAATTTGACATGAAGAACCGCCGTGTGAGACTTGTTAGTCCGAAGCTGCAGAAGCAGCAAATCAAAATCATTGAACATATAGCATATCTGTGCCTGGCAGCAGCGTCAGTCTGGGAATGATCGCATGGAAGAAGTCCGAAAGGCAGGATGTTCCCACATGTTCGCTACCAGTACATCACCTTGCCTCACGCTGTCACAAAACACCCCGCAAAACCTAAACCCTCACAGGCGCCAGGTCCTTTGGCTTTGGTTACAAGCGAGTCACATTCTGGGCGCTGCCAAGCAGATGCGGTAGAGCAGGAGCACGACGCAACGACCTGGGCGACGGCTGCAAGCTCTGCTCTTCCAACATCGGAACAATATTATGTCAGCAGGCTGCCCTTGACTAAAAGCAAATGCTGATGCCGGAACAAGCTGCAAGCTTGCCGCCACCTCGGTGCAGACGTCCATGCCCATGGCCTGCGAGAGCATGGGGTACACAAACATACACAAGCGTTCAGAATTAACTGGCAAAGGACAAGCCACCTTCAGCTCTGACAAGGAGGAAGCCATGCTGCAAACACGGGATCTCAAGCTGAAGAGCCCAAAGGGACCTCCTAGCCCAAGGCTGCACTTCTTTGCGTGTGCTTGCCACAGTGGGGCAATGCGCTTCAGAAGATCTTGCAGCGCTTCGACGGGAAAGTGCCATGTTTTCTCCCCATCTCGCAGAGACGCTGGCGCAGATTTCGAGCTAGCAGCCACGTCCTGGCCCACGATGAGCGCTCTCTGATTTGAGAGTTTCCGATAATGCCTAGAGGATCATGGGAGTAACTGGGGTTATAGATGTTGTATTCCCATTTAGGATATTATAACCTTACTTACGAAGTCCCATGATCCTAATACAGTAACCCAAAAAGTAGGATCCTTGCAAAAAGGACCCCAAAATGAGCTAATCCAACTCTCGGAAACTCCCATTTTCACGATTCCTGCCATCAAGGAGATCATGGGCCTCCAAACAGTCCCGCAGTCTGTGTAAAGCCGTACACAAGCTCTACGTGTACGACGATCTGACTCACCGTGATTACAACTTGGCGCCCCTAGTCTCACTTGAAGCATCACTCGTACTGGTACTGAGTCGATGGTACGGGTACCACATGAAACATTCAGAGGCTTCGCACGACTGAAATGCTAAGGCCTAAGTACTTAGACTTAGGTGTCGGCAATTTGTTGACTTATTCAGTACACTGGGGAACTGCGAAGACTCAGATGCCGTGTGAGGATCCAGAAGGGAGGACCCCTGTGCGAAAGCCAGGTAGTTTCGCGCTCCACGCTCAGCTGGTACCTGGCTATGTCACGAGTGAAACATGTCGGGTGCGGCCTCTGTTGTGAGATCAAACTAACAGGACGGCGACATGCATGCAGTATTAACAGTCATGCACAGTTATGCTGCTCAGCTTGTTGGGAGCATGGTGTGGCTGCAGCGGCTTTGAAGCACACGACGTGAAGGCAAAGACAACGCTGGCAAACACGTTTCATCTGCCAGCTCCGGGAACCCACGCTCAGAAACGCTGATGCGGATGCGGATCAAGTTTCGACCTGCCCGATAGCAGGTCTCGTGAACAAGAGGTGGCATGCCACAGCAACATGTTGCTGAAGTACGCAGCAGCTCAAAGGCGCAAAAGCGGGGCGAAGAATCAACCAAGATTGGGCACAACGATGCACTACCTAAAGAATCCTAAGGTTCAGGCATGCATGGTTCACCCAGAAAGGCGATTCAGATGAGGGTTTCGCGGCTCGCCTCGGAAAAGTTTGAAGGTTGGTTATCGGCTCCATCCTACTTGTCACCGTGGGCCCGATAGAGAGTGAACCCCAACTGTGACAGTGCCAGCACCGGTGGCCGTCCTTGTAGGTTCAACTTTTCATGGCATTAGCTGGCGCACGCGCCACTGTGCCATACAAGGGGCTTGGAACGAGGATCAAACGGACACAAAGCCTGCAATTTAGCACGTTACAAAAATGGGATCTTGTAGCAAATGCTCACTAAAGCTTCGGGCAGGTTTGCTTGGCCACGACATGGTGAATGCAACAACGAAATCCGACTTCGGAGATCGCTTTGTCGTGGCACTGCTCAGGATGCTCAGGGCGAGATTCCGCGTGGCCCACTGATTTGCACAGGAAATTCGTAACTCATAACTACATATTCGATAACACATATTGTATAACTGTCCTTTCAACGCTGCCTTGATTTTTTGTGCCTTGGGGCCAAGTTCTGACACACTGGGTCTCTCCACGACTCCGACAAGGAGGACGAAACGTGAAACCAGGCGTGAATGTCTTGCTTCAACCTCGGCGCGAAGGGATTTCCATCAGACAGCCTCATCCAAGGAAGACTTTGCCCTTGCGCTGAAGCTTGAGAACCTGGCAACATCAAGACATAAGCGTGGCTGGGCGTCACAAGTCAGTGCGCAACTTTTGAAACATCCAAGATTATCTATCGTCTTGTTGCATTTGCACACAAGCTAAACCGCGTGCGAAAGTAGCAGGATCAAGGAATGCTGTTCACTGAACAAACATGGCACGTTGCTTGCTGGAAGCCGGCAGCATGCTGACGGGTTAATTAAGCACACTTGGCCGTGCGAAAACACGAGTTTATGTGCATGAGCACAAGTGACAGGTAGTCGATGGCGCTGACGGCTGGCAAATCACTGGCGACCAGCCGAAGTACACCGAAGCTGCCCGATACGCCTCTCTGTCACGCTCGTCGAGTTGCGCTCGCTTGAAAACCTGTGGGCGTGTGCTGACATGATTTCAACTTCACTGCGAGTGAGCCAATCTTCCCTTCACTGCTAAGCCCAGACCAGCCCAGCCTCCTTCTCCAGGAGCTCCGTCAAGTACTCCAGGCGCGCTGCGTTCACTTTGATCTGGGCGAATTGGCAGAAACGAAAATATGAAGCCGTGCACTGGAATCTACGGGCCTTCTTGGACTTGAAAGGCGTAGCCTCGCGCCAGCTTCATGTGCCGAGATGCCATACACATGATCACGCATGTCTCGTGCCACTCCTGTTTATGCCATCAGTCTGCGCACCTCCAGGCCCAAGAGCATCTCCAGGTGGTTGAAGCGATTTGCGGACACTTTCACCTCGATGAAATCGCGCAGGTGAGCGCAACAGCTCAGTGAACATTGAAACCACAGCCAGGCCTTCGAGGACATGGCTATGCAAGGCTGAGGAAAAGGTGTTGCCGATCGATGAAGCCGGACTTTGAGCAGCACGGCCCGACCCGCGGCACTCACATCTAGCAGTTGGGAGGTTTCTCTGATATCCTGCA